TCATTTGTTCATCTCTCAAGGGCTTTCCTCTTCCTTTTTCTTTTACTCCAGGGTTGTAGATCCCTTGATTTATGGAGATTACCCTGACATTATGAAGAAAAAAGTTGGCTCCAGACTCCCTTCCTTCACCAAACAAGAATCTGAGCTTGTTAGGGGTTCATTCGACTTCCTAGGCATAATACATTACTTTGTATTTTACATCAAAGACAACCCTAGCAGTCTGGAACCAAAGCAAAGGGACTTCAACGCAGATATGGCTGTATTTTTAATCCGTATGTCCCTTACATCTACTTGATTAACTGAACATTATTGATATCAAGTTTCATGCTCACATGATAATGCTGTAGAAAAACATTAGACTGGCTTGTATAATGTCCCTTAGTTCAGTTATAGAGTTATTTTATACCATTCTCAAGATGTTTAAGGAGAGCTGAAATTTTCCTCATGGATTGTTTTACTTGTGACAGCCATTGTGGGCAATCAATCGATGAATGAGGTGAGTGAAAGATCTTGTTGAAGTGCTGGTTATTCTATTTGAATTTTGTTAACAATATTGCTAAGACGTTTTATTACTACTCAGTTACCGCTAACTACTTGGGCTCTTCAAGGAGTGCTGGAGTATTTTAAGCAAGTTTATGGCAATCCCCCTATCTACATTCATGAAAATGGTCTGTCTCTCTCTTGCACAGAAGTACACACTATACACAATTTCAACATTTTTTCTTCAAATGTAGATCCATACCCATTCTCTCCTCCTCATCATGTTGAAGTGAAAACCATTGAATTTCGCCTTTTTTTTTTTTGACAGGCCAAAGCACCAGGCGCAATTCAACATTGCAAGACACATCAAGGGTGGAATATCTGCATGCATATATTGGGGCAGTGCTGGATGCTGTGAGGTATGCCAATTCAGAACTATCCTTTTAGAAAGAGCAATCATTTGACATCAATAGAGATACCCTTTTTCTAAGTCTGACGTTTTTATAAAAATTCTTCAAACTTTCAAAGGAATGGATCAAATACTAGAGGGTACATCCAGTGGTCCTTCTTAGATGTGTTTGAGTTCGATGGCTATGGATCTAGCTACGGCCTGTACTACGTAGATTTGGATGATCCAGATTTGAAGAGATACGCGAAGCTTTCTGCTTATTGGTATTCCCATTTTCTCAGGGGAGGAAGTGTCAGTTCAGATGGCATCATCAAGCTCAAGAACTCAGCTGCCCCTCTCCAGGGCAGCACTTTTCAGTAGGATAATTTCTTACAGAAATGAATAATGATGTTTTATTTATCATCCCTGTTCAAAGATGTTGGAATATACCAGTTTACATCATTTAGTAGTAATTAGTTACTAAAATAAACATGATTCCTTACTTGATGTCTTCAGACACAACATTGCAAGAGTTACCTACATAAAAAACAGCAGTGTCCCAAGAGTTGGCTGTTGAGGTGAAAGAGTCCATGACCATGCTGAATATACCGCAAAGCAGAAGATCCAAGTCCTGAACGTTGGCAACTTGTATAGTTAGTTACATCCTCTAAATTTATTCGGTCTTTCTTTTTTGGGAACAAAAGAACTAAGAATTGAATTCTAAACTTATGACTAAGAGTATAAGTAACTTATTTCATCTTTGACTACACAGCATTTTAGCCCAAAGGAAACACTTAAAAAGTCATGCTTGGGTTTTTTTTAAGGGGGAGGAGGAATGGAGGAGAAACTCAATATAAGTGGTATAAAACCAGAAATTGGAAATTGAAATGAAATTGGATGGGTGCAGACTTCACCCGAAAATGGTAGAGAGGAGTTAGACTCCAATTCAAATTAAATGGTAGAGGAAAGCTGTTTAACAAAGAGGAGGTTGATACTGCTAGCATGTTCGATTTAGTCCAAACAAGAGCCTTCCTATGGATAGCAAATAGAGGAAAAGACAAGCATTGCCTACTTTCAGATTGGATTATTAACCCCAACTTGTGCAAATTATAATTTGGCCTTTTGTGGGTTATGGGATGTTGTTTTTTGCAGCATAATGCACATGGGTTCAAGTAGCCCTTGTACTCACTATCAATAAAATTTCTTTGCCTTTCAAAAAAAGAAAAAAAAAATGGTAGAGGAAAGCTACACAAAAAACAATACTATTCTTCTACCTAATACAAATATACAATGACATTTTCTACGTAAAACATACACTAAAATGTAGAAGTTTTCTGCCATTTCTTGCAGCTCACGTGCAGCTCCATTCTGTTGGCACTTTGTTAGGCATGGTTAT